GACTTGGGACCGAGTCAAAATTAAAACTCGACTCCTGGAGTCGAGTCGGGACCGGACCGGACTTTTAACATCCCTAATGTTGGGGTACCACGGTTAATAATTCAAGAACCGGGTAACCAATTCTGAATCAGATAGCCAGATTCCGAATCTGGCAGATTCCTATCTGAAGTGCAACATTAACGTCAGACGTATCGGTATATATTACGAAATTATGCATAATGATAGTTGAATATTTATTATTTGTTTGATAAATTTAATTACTTGTTATATAACGTAGTCAGGGCTGAGTACGTACGTACATAATAAATAATAAAAGCTCGAAATCAGGTTATTCCTTGACGCCACTCATGTAAAAATATTAGTAAACCTAAAAGCCAGAAATCAAGTTTTCCCTTGACATTACTCATATATAAAAATACTATATAGAATAAAACTTTTTATATAAATTAATAAATATATGTATACTATATAATAAGTTTTTATATTTAAAATATATATGTATATATTTTTTACAATCTTTTATTTAGTTAGAATAATGATGTCGTACCCAGATCGGAATCGTGGAACGTTGTAAATTATTTTGGCGAAATTAATTTTGATTCGTATTGTTTGGGCCAAAATTAAAAAATTTTCATCAGGTTATGAATCGGGACGATTCCCATCTGGGGTATAAAATTAATATATTCGAAGTCAAATCTTTTTATAGTAAGGATTAAAGTTATGATTAGAGTAATTCTTATTTCCACCATTGAAATCTGCTATTTCCACATGCTTTTCATATGACTTTCAGTTACATAAACATGAAGAACGTATTGTCATGAAAATTTACGTCAAATGGTGGAAATAGTAAATTTTCGTGATGGAAATTGGCGTTCCCTATAAAAAATATATAAAAAAAACAATTACAAACCTCTTCACGAGGCAACGCTCGAAACCAAGTCAATATTTATTTCTATTTCGCGATTTGGCACAAGCCTTTTGACTTTTTGTAGGAATCCTTACGCAAGATACTCAGGGCAAATACGAGCTGCCGTCCATAGAAAATTCTTTATTTCTATCGTGGCAGCCCACAGTATATGGCGTGTGCACTCACGTATGTATGTTGCCAATCACATAAAAACACAGCCAGGTTTAGCCTCACATTTAACGTTAACGGCATATAATTTAATGCAAATCTGTATAAATCCAGGAAGCACATTATTTCTAGGAAGGGCAATTTCTCCCTTATTATATAGGCTTATATCCAAATCGACGATCACGTACGTGACTATTGATATAAACAATAATGCGTATGCTAAAGCTAAATTGTCATATTAAGTGATGTCAAATTAAATGACTAGGCGGCAAGTTTTGATAGTGATTACATATTGCATTAGCAACCAAAACCTGTAACTGAACATACCAGTTGCTCTGCAACTCTCATTTTCGTATGTTTTTTTTTGTAATTTAGAACCACCCCTTCGATTATAATACGCGTTATCTATATATAGCGCATAATCATTTATTATCTTATATTCCACTGCCGCAATTAAGTCTCTTTGGAAAACTTGTAAACGTATTTTCGGACACCAAATGAAGTTTCTCTTTATAGCTTGTTTTTTACTCTCATTTCTTTGGTGCACTATCGTAAAAGCTCGTTTAATCAATGGTAGTGACAACAATGCCATAAATCCGACTGCTGGAACTCCGCATCAACCTTTCTTGAGGGCTATTAGCTCAATGAATTTCAAGTACAGTAATTAATCATTGGTCCATAATATAAGTGTTGCCTAGGAAATAAAACTTTGGGCTTTCAAATTTATATTTACCAGATTCAAGCTGATGTTCAATATAGAAATAATTTCTAAAACAACGTGCATGCATAATACACTTTTAAAAATTATTTCTAAACTAGCACATCTCTAATGGCAAATTGATTAGTGTCTAAATTTAATTACTATTATATATATATGTCGTTGGCCAGGTTTTTCAGGGTTTAATCTATAAATAATAAATAAACTTGAAATCTCAAGTCACATTTTTCCTTGGCAGCATTTATTCAATTAAAGTTTATTCAGTAATAACTCTTAAATCACAATATAGTCAAAATTTTACTCCTGTTTCGTCTCCCACTGACTTTCTTGGTTTAAACCCGAGCGGTCCGACAACTATTAAATGCACCGATCGTGTACCTTCTGGGATGTATCCCATGCCAAGATGCATATCAAACGTTATATGTACTTATAATACTCCACCTTACGATATTAATGCATTGTCAAACCATCGTTCATTCAGACGAACTAGCCATTTCGTAAGTTGTATATGAATTTATGATCATTGTGCTTGTGCTTCGTTGAATTTAATATATTTATTATATTTATATTAAATACTATAGGCCACTTATTTCGCTCAATACCTTTCGTTTGATATTACAGTTTCAGTGAACACAAATCCAACATATCCAATGTTCTTACCGGCTGATGATCCGTTTTATAATCCAAATCAGAATTCCACTGCATCTCCATACCAACTTAACGTACCTTTTTTACCGGTTAATCGATCCGATGGAAATAATAACACTAATCCAGCAACGAATAATCCTCTTCTTAGTGGAATAAACTCTGTCACTCCCTTTCTTGACCTAAATACTATTTACGGACTGAGTGATCAGGACGCGATAGAAAGGCTTAGAGACACATCTACCAATAAAGGAAAGTTGAAGACGTATATTGTTAACGGCCAAGAATTTCCTCCGAAAAATGCCTCGGATGCTTCATATATTTGGGGTGTTCCTAGACGTGCATTTACTATATTTACTTTGGCTATCCAGACGATTTGGATACGCGAACATAATCGATTATGTGAA